TAACCTCTATCCTACATTATCTTTATAGCCATCATGATAGAAGATCTGTTCCAGGAAGGAGCCACCATGTCAAATTCTTTAGGCAGTTAGTGGGGGAGGTCAAATGTCCTTCAGAGAAAACAATCAAGGTAAAGAGATATATTTCAGGGTGGCCAAATCTTGATCTCCCACAGCATCTTCCATCCTGGTTTATCCTGCTGTTCTGGCCTGATGAACAGTAATCTTTTCCCTCATTCTCAGAAGTGCTCAGGTTTGGATAATAGCACAGCATCCCTCCACATAGGGTCCATTTTAGAACAGTGGCGGAGGATCTGGAACTTGGCCCCAGGCCACCGGCCTGCTCACCTGTGGTCTCCCTGCCTCCCGAGCTTCCTAGGAATGAATCCACAAAGTCAGCTCTGCCCCTGATTGTAGTTGTTCAGTCCTGTCCTCCTGTCTTAAGAACACTTGCTGTGCTGTGCGGCAGAGTGACGTGTAATTCTTAACAGAAACCTGGGAGTTTGGGGGTGGCTGAGATCAGTGAAAGGGCAGCTCCAGGGCTAGATCATTCTCTCTCTCTTATCTGTCTGTCTATCTATCTATCTATCTATCTATCTATCTATCTATCTATCTATCATCTATCTATGTATCTATCTATCTATCAAGCATTTATTTGTCTATCCATCCATCATCTATCTGTCTGTCATCTAGCTATCTGTCTATCATATATCTACTTACCTACCTGCCTATCTATTTTTTTCCCCCAAGGTAAGTTTGACATTTATTTATTTATTTTTCTCAATTATAAAATGGCTTAGAAATTCTTAAGTTAAATTCTTTTTTTTAATTTTTAAAAATTTTTATTTATTTTTTTACCTCGGAAATATTGGTTAATAACATTGTATAAATTTCAGGTGTACATCATTATACTTCTATTTCTGCATAGATTACATCATGTTCACCACCCAGAGACTAATTACAATCCATCACCACACACATGTGCCTAATCATCCCTTTCGCCCTCCTCCCTCTCCACTTCCCCTCTGGTAACCCCCAATCCAATCTCTGTCTCTATGTGTTTGTTTGTTGTTGTTTTTATCTTCTACTTATGAGTGAGATCATACGGTATCTGACCTTCTCCCTCTGACTTATTTCACTTTGCATAATACCCTCAGTGTCCATCCATGTTGTCACAAATGGCTGGATTTCATTGTTTCTCATGGCTGAGTAGTATTCCATTGTGTATATATACCACATCTTCTTTATCCATTCGTCCCATGATGGGCACCTAGGTTGCTTCCAAGTCTTGGCTGTTGTGAATAATGTTGCAATTAACACAGGGGTGCATGTATGTTCATGCATTGGTGTTTCCATGTTCTTTGGATAAGTACCCAGCAGAGGAATAGCTGGATCATATGGTAGTTCTATCCTTAATTTTTTGAGGAATCTCCATACTGTTTTCCATAGTGGCTGCACCAGTTTGCACTCCCA